CTCACTTCAGCCACTGGGAGGAAGGAGAAGAAGCTTCTGTAAGGTCCAAGTTTTTGTAAAAGCTGTGGATTCCCTCCCTGCCCCCATGTGACAGTGATGGTGCCTGTGTAGACAAGTACCAGTGCTGTCATATGGGAGGAAGGGGAGGAAGTCACGTGCTCCCCATACAGTACATCAATGAGCCTTGGCTGCACATGACCCTGTCGATGGTTCACTGGTTTTCCTTCATTGGACCACTTTTTTTTTAGACTGGAAACATTCCACAAGAGCTGCAGTTTCGGAGTTGCTCTGACCCAGTCTTCTAGCCATCACAATTTGGCCCTTGTTAAAGTCGCTCAAATCCTTACGTTTGTCCATTATCTCTGCTTCCAACACATTAACTTCAGGGACAAAATATCTTATAGAATGGTAAATATAATATATCCCACCCACTTCCAGGTGCCATTGTAAGGAGATAATCAATGTTATTCACTTCACCTGCCAGTGGTCATAATGTTATGGCTGATCAGTGTATACTGCTGCAGAGGGAGCATGAAATTAAACTTGTTGCTTCACCCTGAGGACTTCTTCACACCAGCTGCAGGTTAAAGGCCCCATACACTTTTTTCAATATATATTAAAAAATTAAAACCCCAGTGGTGATTAAATAACACCAAAAGAAAGCTCTATCTGTCCCCAAAAAATGGTATAAAATTCATTTCAGTACAGCGTTGCATGACAGAATAAATGCCAGTCAAAGTACCGCAGCGCTAAATACTGAAAAATGGCCTGGCCAGGAGGGGGTGTAACACCCCGGTCTTCAAGTGGTTAAAAAAAGGAGAGCAAAAAACAAAACAAAAAGTCCTCAATGCTTAAATTAGTGCACCTAATTCAAATGTTGGCTGGACCAAGTATGGACAGGATGGTATCGTTCCGACCCTTGTTCTCAGCCTGCCTACAGGTGACACAGACCTCTGATGAGATATGGAGTCACAATATATCAGTATACATCTTGCAGAGCAGTTCGGTATTTAAACATGCATGTTCAGACTGTCAGAACATTGCATGTTTTATGCCACAGAGGCATGGGAAGGTGGCATGGCCGGTGCCAGATTATGCTGGGGGTAGAGCTGGCTACACGTTAATTAGGGAGTTCCACGTTACAAGATCTCGGCTTCAGACGTGGTCAAATTTAGTCACGGACATAGACCCAATATGGCCATATCAGGACAATGATGTCATAGCATCCTGCCCCACTGTTCATATGCAGCCGTTTGGGTCAGCACAGTGAGCTTCCTTCTGGGTTCTTATGAGCTTGGGTTCAGTCTGAACCTGAGCTCATCCCAAGTTACAACTTGATTGCACAATCTTCTTTAGATCTACCAAAACTATGTAGTGTATGGGCCTACCTTATTGAAAATAGAATTCATGTTTGTGTCAGATAAGCCCTCCTGCTACAATGTTTTTGGTAAATATAAAGGCGATTGTACAATCAGATTGCACACATGTACCATCTTTAAGTACATGTAGACCCTAACGGAATGAACTCAGTTTGCTAAAACACTGTGGGGGGAATCAAAGCACTTGCGACAGTTTTAGCGTCTTAGATCATTTTTTTTTTATGAACAAATATGTCTTTCCACGTGTGCCCCTGTTTTCTTCAGAGCTTGCACTACTCTGAGGTTAAGAAGTCCCCATGACCACTTCTTCAAGATGCGACAGTTAAGCTTCTTGCCTGAAGTTAGAAGTCTGCTTTCTTGGAGTCTATTAAACCTCATTTATCAACAACATTACACTAGCAACATAAATCTGGTGCAAATATATTCCGTGCAGGTTCAAACACTCACAATTGCTTTGATAAATCCCCCCCCCATGCTTTTTGCACCTTTTTTGCACGTGTTTCCATCTGCACTTGTTAAACCTCATTTATCAACAACATTACACTAGCTTGATAAATCTGGTGCAAATATATTACGTGCAAGTTCAAACACTTGCAACTGCTTAGATAAATTCCCCCCAGTGTATCATAAAAGCCATTTTGTAATAAAATACAATGTTCATCTCTTATTCATCCTTTGTTGAATCTCAGGGCTGCTGATCCTCTCTATATCTACTACATGCATGGGCTCCGTGCCCATGCATATATAGACCTGTGTGTCCTGTACTGTATATAGGAGCTCTGTGCCCATGCATATATAGACCTGTGTGTCCTGTACTGTATATAGGAGCTCTGTGTCCATGTATATATGGACCTGTGTGTCCTGTAGTATATATGGGAGCTCTGTGTCCATGTACATATACAGTGCATTGAGAAAGTATTCAGACCCCCTCCACTTTTTCCATTTTCATATGTTGCAGCCTGATACTACAGTCGTTTGTTCTCATTGATCTACACTCAGTACCCCATAATGACTAAGTGAAAACAGAATTTTAGAAATGTTTGCAATTGTATAAAAAAGGAAAAAAACTGAAGTATCACATTGGCATAAGTATTCACACCCTTTGCAACACTTGAAATTATGCTCAGGTGCCTCCCATTTCTCTTGATTGCTGCTGAGGCGTTCCTAAACCTTGATTGGAGTCCACCTGTGGTAAGTTACATTGATTGGACATGGTTTGGAAGGGCACACACCTCTCTATAGAAGGCCTCACAGCTGACAATGCATACTGTATCAGAGCAAAAGCCATGAGGTAAAATAACTGCCTGCAGAGCTCAGAGACAGGATTATTGCAAGGCGCAGGCTACAAACAAAATGTCTGCTGCACCGAAGGTTCCCAGGAGCACAGTGGCCGCCATAATTCTCAAATGGAAGAAGTTTGGCACAACCAGGACTCTTCCAAGAGCTGATCGCCCAGCCAAACTGAGCAATCGGGGGAGAAGGGCCTTAGTAAGAGGTGACGAAGAACCCGATGGTCACTCTGACTGAGCTCCAGAGATCCTGTGTGGAGATGAGACAAAGTTCCAGATTGACAACCATCACTGCAGCCCTCCACCGCTCTGGCCTTTATGACAGAGTGGCTAGACGGAAGCCTCTCCTCCTTGGAGTTTGCAAAAAAGCACCTGAAGGACGCTCCGACTGTGAGGAACAAGATTCTCTGGTCTGACGAAACCAAGCTTGAACTGTTTGGCCTCAATTCTAAATGTTATGTCTGGAGGAAACCAGGCACCGCTCATCACCTGTCCAATACCATCCCAACAGTGAAGCATGGTGGTGGCAGCATCATGTTGTGGGGGTGTTTTTCAGCAGCAGGGACTGGGAGACTGGTCAGGGTTGAGGGAAAGCTGAATGGAGCAAAGTACAAAGATATCCTCAATAAAAATCTGTTCCACAGAGCTCAGGACCTCAGACTCGGCCGAAGGTTCACCTTCCAACATGACAACGATCCTAAAGCACACAGCCAAGACAACACAGGACTGGCTTAGGGATGCCTCTGTGAATGTCCTAGAGTGGCCCAGGCAGAGCCCTGACTTGAACCCTATTGAAAATCTCTGGAGACCTGAAAATGGCCGTCCACCGACAGTCCCCATCTGACCTGACTGAGCTTGAGAGGGTTTGCAAAGAATGGCAGAAAATCCCCAATCCAGGTGTGCAAAGATTGTCGCGTCATACCCAGAGAGACTCCAGGCTGTCATTGGTACCAAAGGTGCTTCAACAAAGTACTGAGTAAAGAGTCTGAATTCTTATATACATGTGATATCAGTTTTTTCTCTTTAATACATTCACAGACATTTCTAAAATTCCGTTTTCACTTTGATTATGGGGTACGGAGTCATTATGGGGTACAGAGTGTAGATTCAAGGGAGAAAAAAAGAGAATTTAAACAGCTGTAGTATCAGGCGGCAACATCACAGCATTGAAAAAAGTGGAGGGGGGTCTAAATACTTTCTGAATGCACTGTAGAACTTTAGTGTGTGTATATATATATATATATATCTAAAAAATATAATATGCTGTGTGTGCATGTATATACAGACCTGTGTGTCCTGCACTGTATATAGGAGCTCTGTGCCCATGTATATACAGACCTGTGTGTCCTGCACTGTATATAGGAGCTCTGTGCCCTTGTATATACAGACCTGTGTGTCCTGTACTGTATATAGGAGCTCTGTGCCCATGTATATACAGACCTGTGTGTCCTGTACTGTATATAGGAGCTCTGTGCCAGTGTATATATAGACCTGTGTTTCCTGCACTGTATATAGGAGCTCTGTGCCCATGTATATACAGACCTGTGTGTCCTGCACTGTATATAGGAGCTCTGTGCCCATGTATATACAGACCTGTGTGTCCTGCACTGTATATGAGCTCTGTGCCCATGTATATACAGACCTGTGTGTCCTGCACTGTATATAGGAGCTCTGTGCCCATGCATATATTGTGTATATATATATATATATATCTAAAAAATATAATATGCTCTGTGTCCATGTATATACAGACCTGTGTGTCCTGCACTGTATATAGGAGCTCTGTGCCCATGTATATACAGACCTGTGTGTCCTGCACTGTATATGAGCTCTGTGCCCATGTATATACAGACCTGTGTGTCCTGCACTGTATATAGGAGCTCTGTGCCCATGCATATACAGACCTGTGTGTCCTGTACTGTATATAGGAGCTCTGTGCCCATTTGTATATATAGACCTGTGTGTCCTGTACCGTATATAGGAGCTCTGTGCCCCTGTATATATAGACCTGCACTGTATATAGGAGCTATGTCTCCATGTGTATGTATATATATATAGACCTGTGTGTCCTGTACCATATATAGGAGATCTGTGCCGATGTATATATAGACCTGTGTGTCCTGTACCGTATATAGGAGCTCAGTTACAGGTGGCAGCGGCCGTTCGCTGTGCAGGGCTTGGAGAGGCCTACCCATGTGTGTCTGGCATGGGGCAGTGAGGAGTGCCGGCTCACAGGAGGGGACTCAGGCAGACACTCCCAGCTGTAGAGCGCCCCCTGCAGCCAGTGCGGATCTCGGGCCCGGGGGGTCAGGAAGGGGGGAGAGCGAAGTACCTGTCACACGCGTCACTGGGGAGCCTCTGCGGGAGATCATCAGCTGTCACCGACACCGCTCACTCAGCTGCCATTACCTGGGATGCCGGAATCCACCATTTGCTTGCATGGACGGGGGGTGAACACGGAGTTTCTCACTTCCAGCGGTCCCCTTTCCGTCTCCGCTTCGCTCACAGGTGGCCTCTGACCTGCACACTCGGCCAATGAGAGGTTGTCGCCCAGGCTGACAGGCCGCACAGCGCTGAGCAGAACGGAAGCGCCTCACCAGAGTCCTCCCCTGTCTGTAGGATGGACTAATCCGCAGTACGGGAACCTCTGAGGCTCACACTTCCTCCATTCTCCTGGTGACAAGCAGGAAAAGGAAGTGTGCTGTCAGCACTGCTACAGTCAGAGTTGTCAGACAGTTTTGTTCTCCATGGACTGCCCCAAGTCTGTAATGCTTATCCTTGGAAATATCACAGTAATGACCTGGTGTGAACTGTTATCCTGCCCCCACACAGTGCGATTCTCTAACAATCAGCTATTTAATGGCAAAGATGCTTCAACAGATTGGGACCACCTACCCCATACATCTTCTTTAGTTTTATTTTTTTAAGAATATTGAAAGCCAAGACTTTTCATTTTGAACAGAGGAGGAGAGAATTAAAATCGCTGTCAATATTTATTTCTTTTTTTTTTATGCCAGCAATGTCTCATACGGAAGATTTACCTTCACTTCCTGGCCAGCAGACTCCACAGGAAGTGAGAGAATATCTTTCCAATGTAACTGATATCCTTTCTTAGTGTCCCCAGTGGAAGATTTCAGCTCCATTCATGTTTTGATGGCAACCCCTCACTGGTGACATTGGTGATCAGTAGGCATGAGCTCAGAGTAAGCCTGAACCCAGTTCAAACCTGACATCCTCCAAACGAGAAAGTGCCACGGACACAATCAACTGCTGGCGGGGAATTCCCTGCTCCATACCTGCGTGTAAACAAATGCTTGTGCTGACCTCATTTACTTTATATGGCCACATAACCATAACAGGTAAATGCCATTTGCGAAATATAGGCATGCAGCCATATAAGGTCAGTGATGTCACTGCGTCCCCTTTGCTGATATCAAGCTACCGGTGGGGAATTCCCGACCCTCGGCTGATTAGGCGGCACAGAAGGAGCTTCCTTTGTGTTCGGGAGGAGCTCCTTCCGGGTTTGGAGGAGCTCAGTCTTGAATGGGGTTCAGTCCAAACCTGAGCTTATCCTAGTAATCAGGGATTGCTCCCTAACTGGGGTATAGACAGCAATAAAACCTGACAGGGGTTTGTTTTGGTCCAACCCCAATCAAAACTTTTCATTTCATTTGGGATGGATGGAGTAAGGGTAGAGTTTCTATTGCTGTCCCTGTCAATGTCCCATTGACAACCACTCCCCCTGTTTCTTCATCACACAGAGGGAGGAAGTTAGGGAAATCTCCCCATGACACAACTTCAGTGATGCTATGAAGAATGTTTCACAGACCTATGGATGGCACTTCTATGTTCACGGGGGGATACCATTCATGTCAATTTCTAAATCACGCATACGCTGGGCAAATGCCATTCGTACAACATTCCTGTGACCAACCCTGTCTGAGCAGTCCATCATCAGCGGCAATCTCCATGTCCCCATCCGTGATTCAGAAAGTTACATTCTGTGCCCCCTTTTTAGGGCTAATATTCGTTTTCTTTTATTTATAATAATGCCAGGTTCACTTTAATTGGGGTATTGCTTCATGTAGCTCCACCCAACAGTCTAGCATAGTGAATGTTTTTACATTTTGTACACACATGCAGAGCTTGACCATAGTCCAGATTACACAATCTCATGAGTCACTTTTTGCAACTTCAAAGTCTAATAATTGGCCAAGTCTGGGTCAGGCCAAATTCACATACACAACATGCCATCAAAGGCTGAGTACATAGTACTACTCACTGCCAAGGAGCCAGCATGTCCCCTACGTTTCATATGTGCCATCCTATGCCAATTGTAATCATTATGCAGAGTACTAATTTCCTATCATATTAGCCTCCTTTATCCCTATCCAGAGATTACATTCTAATATGTAAAGTGAACCAACTAGTCATATTTCAGATGTAGGAAGTCAGGCAGAGAGATAACCAATCTTAGTGATTCCTACAGGTTATTGAGCTTTGCATGGTGCTCTACTGAACAAGTCAATGCCACATTTAGCAATGGCATCCTCCATACATCCTCTCCGCCAAGGTCAGCAATGGCATCCTCCATACATCCTCTCTGACAACTACAGCAATGGCATCCTCCATACATCCTCGCTGCCTAGTTCAGCACCCTCCATACATGCTCTCCGCCAAGTTCAGCAATGGCATCCTCCATACATCCTCTGCCAAGGTCAGCAATGGCATCCTCCATACATCCTCTCTGACAACTACAGCAATGGCATCCTCCATACATCCTCGCTGCCTAGTTCAGCACCCTACATACGTTAAGGAATCGAAATTCGTACGTGGCATCCTCCATACATCCTTTCTGACAACTACAGCAATGGCATCCTCCATACATCCTCTCTGCTAGACATGTGCGATTCTCCCTGTAAAGGAGGTTGAAAAACTGGACAAGATTTTTTTTTTTAATCCGAAATACGGATCCGCTGCTGCTGAGGGTTGCATTACAATACACAGGCAGGAAATACGAAATTCCGTTGACGTATTTTCGTTCCATTACGAACATTCGTTATATATTGAAGTTAAAAAGCAAAGTACATTTATATTGGAGTTGATGGTAGTTTTTACGGAATTCGTATTTCGGATAAAAAAAACAACTACCACATCGACTCCAATATTAACAAAGGTATTTTTGCTTTTTAACTTCATCATAACGAATGTTCGTAAAGTTACGAAAATGTGCCAAAACTAACAAAAATACGTATTTCGTACGAATCCGAATTGAGTTTCGGATACGAATTACGAAATACGAAATAATGGATATTACGAAACGGAACACATTTTTTGACGGCGCACAAGTCTACTCTCTGCCAAGGTCACCAATGGCATCCTCCATATATCCTCTCCACCAAGTTCACCAATGGCATCCTCCATACATCCTCTCCACCAAGTTCAGCAATGGTATCCCCCATACATCCTCTCCGCCAAGTTCAGCAATGGTATCCTCCATACATCCTCTCTGCCACATTCAGCAATGGCATCCACCATACATCATCTCTGCCAAGTTCAGCAATGGCATCCTCCATACATCCTTGCTGCTAGGTTCAGCAATGGTGTGTGCCATCCATCCTATCTACCAAGTTCAGCAATGGCATTCTTCATACATTCTCTTTGCCAGGTTCAGCAATGGCATCCTCCATATATCATCTCTGCCAAGTTCAGCAATGGCATCATCCATACATCATCTCTGCCAAGTTCAGCAATGGCATCCTCCATACATCCTCTCTGCCAAGTTCAGCAATGGCATCCTCCATACATCCTCTCTGCCAAGTTCAGCAATGGCATCCTCCATACATCCCCTCTGCCAAGTTCAACAATGACATCCTCCATACATCCTCTGCCATATTCAGCAATGGCATCCTCCATAAATCCCCTCTGCCAAGTTCAGCAATGGCATCCTCCATACATCCCCTCTGCCAAGTTCAACAATGACATCCTCCATACATCCTCTGCCATATTCAGCAATGGCATCCTCCATAAATCCCCTCTGCCAAGTTCAGCAATGGCATCCTCCATACATCCTCTCTGCCACATTCAGCAATGGCATCCTCCATACATCATCTCTGCCAAGTTCAGCAATGGCATCATCCATACATCATCTCTGCCAAGTTCAGCAATGGCATCCTCCATACATCCTATCTACCAAGTTCAGCAATGGCATTCTTCATAATTCTCTTTGCCAGGTTCAGCAATGGCATCCTCCATATATCATCTCTGCCAAGTTCAGCAATGGCATTATCCATACATCATCTCTGCCAAGTTCAGCAATGGCATCCTCCATACATCCTCTCTGCCAAGTTCACCATCCTCCATACATCCTCTCTGCCAAGTTCAGAAATGGCATCCTCCATACATCCCCTCTGCCAAGTTCAACAATGACATCCTCCATACATCCTCTTTGCTATCCTGCATACATCCTCTGCTCAGTTTAGGAATGGCATCCTCCATACATCCTCTCTGCCAGGTTCAGCAATAGCATCCTCCATGCATCCTCTCTGCCAGGTTCAGCAATAGCATCATCCATACATCATCTCTGCCAAGTTCAGCAATGGCATCCTTCATACATCCTCTCTGCCAAGTTCACCATCCTCCATACATCCTCTCTGCCAAGTTCAGCAATGGCATCCTCCATACATCCCCTCTGCCAAGTTCAACAATGGCATCCTCCATACATCCTCTTTGCTAAATTCAGCAATGGCATCCTCCATAAATCCCCTCTGCCAAGTTCAACAATGGCATCCTCCATACATCCTCTTTGCCAGGTTCAGCAATAGCATCCTCCATACATCCTCTCTGCCAGATTCAGCAATAGCATCCTGCATACATCCTCCTTGCCACTGCTTTATCAGTAACAGCACCTTGAGTGCATGGCACTGTCAGTTTTCATTCTAGATCTATTGGCACTGAAAACACAGCTTGCTACTTAATCTTTTATCTTAGACATCCAAGAACACTTTACTGAAGTACATGGGGTGTTCCTCCTACTGCCACTTTTACTGGCAATTTGCTGTGTGCATACAGTAGCTGGATTTTGTCATTGCTGTCAGAAAGTGTTGGAAACACTGTTCTGTATTGTGATTCAGAGATACAATGTAACATTAATGTCACTTTGAATTTAGTCTTTTCATTCAATTGAAGAGCAAAGGAATGAGCTTCCATCTGCATGCAATGTCAGTTAAAGAAACCTTACAAGTAAAAAAACAAAACATTTGATCAAACTTGTTCCTATTTAACCCCTTATTAGCCCTTAGATAACCCTGAGTGCTTTTATTAACCTTTTTTTTTTTTACATCACCTGTCAGATTGCTTAGAATATAATTTTTTTTCAGGGGAAAAAAAAAAAAATTACTGTCTTGGACAGCTGTTACTAAAACATTGGTTCCCATTAGAAGATTTATCTTCACTTTGTGCGGATGACAACTCTAAAATTTGGGATTTTCACT